CCGTAGTCCTTTTCTCCACACAAATATAAAACAAGCAGAGTGGTGAGGAGAGGCTTTGGGAGACAAGTAATTCATATCAGAGTCGACAGTGTTTGAAGTATCAGAGCACTCTTGTGTCATTAATAATTGTGCAGCCTTCAGCAAAACGCAATTTTCTCCTAACTTGTTTTTTAGGATGAGATGTTTGAGGTAATTGATACTAATTGGAGGAGACAAATTCAGTGAAATCAGACCAGAATATATTGCTTTTGTTTTGTATGAAAGAGTCAGCCCGCACATCTGCAAACAGTTTTTAATACTTTCTCTTCTTGTCTTGCACTGACCCCACATAAAAAGGCTAACTTTTATAGGAATAATTGACATTTTGGGAAACATGCTTATTTGTTATCTTGCTGAGAGTTTAACACAATGATAGGTTTGACTATTGTTTGGCTCAGAACATTAACTTGATTGAGGCGCCGCCAACATCCCGAGCTAAGAAATTGTTCCGCAAAAAACCCTGCACATAAAAGCAAATTGTAGTTTTTACACTTGTTTTTTTGCACTGATTACACAAACAAGATATTTTGTGTGGATAACATACATTTAAGGTTTTGTATGGGGAGTTCCCCTATTTTCCCTAGTCTTTATGCTAAGCTAAACAGCTGGTGGCTGTGGTTTTCTATTTGGCAAAGTGGTATCAATGTTCTTATTTATCTCTCAGCAAGTTGCATGCTGAAAATGTGCTTATATATCTCGATGGTGAAATATTCCTTTGACATTTCCTCAATACTTTTGATGCACCAAAAGCTGACACTGCCTATGAAAGGACATCCTGAGCTTCACCTCAGCAAAGAAATAGTGGGCTACCCCCTCAAGAAAACAACATCTCTCCTGTTAATGTCTGATAATGTAGTGTCAACATTTTACAACCAACTGTGTCACCAAATGTGCAGTCCATGAACAGATCTGGAGAATCTACAATTTAAGTGTACAGTCTGGAAACACTTATAAAACATTTACATTTAGGCTTCAAGAGGATATAAAACGCAACATACTGTGCCGGCCACATCAGGGTGGAGAGCAGCCTCAAGTCTTGAACAAGCCTGTGGTTACCTCCAAGCGGGAATAGGCCACAACAAGGTTAACATATTATACATGTGGTATAAGAAATACACTTCTTATTGTATAAGTACCACATGGTTTTGGCCTCATCCGATTAGACACAGATGAAAAATATCATCTTGTTAAAGCTCCCGGTGTGTTTTCAGCAGAGGGTTTGGGATGCAGCTGGAGGAAGAACAACTGAGACTTCACACTTCAGACCTCTTCATAACTCCAGCTGGATCTGTTCCCCTCTCTCGAAGCGAGGCTTTAGTGCACAGCCTCCTCTAGTGATCCGTCTTCCAGAAGCATCCGCCTCTACTCTCCTGGGACCGGCTAACTGTTAATACACACACACGAGGATGGAGAGAGCTTCACTGTGACTGTAACAAATTGGCCCGTGCCAGCAGGGAATCACAGGTACTTCTGGCTCTTTTGAACAAATGAGAAAACACGAGATGTTTCTCTCTGTATTGTAAGTTTGTAAAAGCAAAATCTAGTTTGCTGATGAAATTAAATTAAAGAACATTGAGGCAAGCCCGGCTGCTCCCAACCCATCATTTACGCCGAAGCACAAATAGAGCCCATTTATATAAAGACAAGTATTTGCATGCACATGCAGTACATTACAAATACAGTTAGACCAGAGTATGTAGTATCCTGTTTGAAAAAAGAGAGTAAAAATCCAGTGCGACAGTCATCGAGTTATTTAGGTACATGATTGTAATAAGTACAAAACAGCCAATGAGATGATGCAGTTTAAAGAGTATTCTGTTCAAACTGAAAGAGCTGTAAAATATTCTTAAATGTTGATATTCTGAATACATTCAGGCTGAGAAAGCAGGTTACTTTGGAGATCCTTAAAAACGGATCGTCTCACTGACTGTTTCACAGGATGTTTGCTAAGTGAGGCGTCCTTGATTTCCTAAACATTTCTACTACAACAGCAATTGTTCACATCAACATACACTAACCTACAAGCCCTTGTAAGTAAGGGAGAGGGGAAGTGTTGTTTGGGAAAACAAAGAGAAGTAGTAACAAGTGAAAAAAAACATCATACATTTGGATCCAAAAATACAAGTAACAGCAAATAGTAGAAAAGTCATATTTGCAACAACTTTCTAGATCCGAGACCAAAGGGGCCCCTGAACGCAACTCACAGGACATTTCTTTGTATCACAAATCTTTGAATTATAGGTATAGAAAGCAGACCAGCCAGCACCAGAAACATCCATCATCGTCGCTGTGGCCCTAGACACTTTAAAATCACACCTCCACACAGTTTCTAAACACCTGGAGAGGTCCACTCTAGAAACTCTACGCTCATCAAGGCACATTCAGGACTCCTATATTCCTCCAGATGACCCTAATGGGGTCAAAGCAGCTCCTGGAAACACAACCCAAGGACTTTGTATTCATGTTTGAGGGGAAGGCCCCAAAAACTGTGTGTGTGTGTCACAATCCTGAATGAAAGATGGAGGGTCCCTCCTCTTTTTATTGACCGCACCACCGCCCTACCCGCATGGTTGCCATAGAAACTAACAGTTACTGGGATGTTTGACTTCACACTGCTACTAAATCCATACTCAGGGTCATGCAAGGCAACGCTTTGATTGCTCAGGGGAACTCCACTCGCATTTCTTTAATAACAAAGCACAATTGAATACTAATCCAGTCATTCTCACATAGCGTCTGACTGCCACCTGCTGCAGATACTGTTGGATGGTTTTTCTGCAGAACACAAGAGGGTGTGTGCGCAGGCACTGCAGGGCAACAGAAAACAACTCTGTGGGCATGTGCTGACATGTTTTATCGGCCGCTACAAGTGCATGGCTAATCTGCAACCGCAGAGCTGATGGGGACACCTAACTGAACGGAAACCTGACACTCTAATTTCAACTTCCAGAGCAAATACAAATGGAAATGAGAAGATTTTTTAGAATTCAATTCAGAGATGTCACATGAATATACTGATACATACTGATACCATAGCTTGGATATACTGTGCTGCAGCTTAATCTGTATATATTGTAGATTATATTGAGCTATACTTGGATGATATAAGGTGTAATAAGTGTCAGCCTCCTGTCACAAACCAGTCTTGTCATGTATGAAATATTGATCTCAGTAAGGATCAGCTGCATACATCATGAATGCTTATAAAACTGTCAACATATGAACTGCAGTTAAAGCCATCACTGCTCAGAAGCTACGCTGGACAACATGCATGGACATATCTCGTGTGTGTGTGTGTGTGTTTCGGGACATACACATTGAGGGTCCCTCATAACTCACAAGAGTTGATTTTTATGTCGTCCGTAAGCAGAATAATGCTATCTTGTTTTATTCAGTCTATAAATCATGGCAGAACGCTCAGCCCTTTATTAGGCGGCAGAGGAGGGGGTAAACACAGCAGAGAACAAAAGCCAGAGCAGCGGCTCAATATGAAGGGAGACACAAAAGAAGTGCTCATAAGTATTCATATCACTCGCACTAGACTAGAGCAACAAGACCGCCTATTGTGGCTCTTTGATGCCACAGTTTCTCTGCTGTGCGAACACATGTTTATGTAATGCTGTGTTTAGATGCTCTCTCCCCCAGGTCGCAGGGCTGCCAGCTCACTTCTACTCTAATGTGAATAAGTTAGATGATCAGATCAGAAGCACGACGCCATATGGCCTGTTTGGCATCATTAGGGTAAAATATAAGAGTCATTATCCTTCTTCGTTTTGCCCAAAAGGAAGTCAATTATCCAATAATCAAAACATTTCACAACATGTTCATCTGTCGGGTGCAAATGGACTGTGATGTCAGTTCAAATGACCATTTCCTGCTTTTACGAGCAACCACAGGTGAGTTTGTGTTGCTCTTAAATGCTATATTGCCATGTTTAATGTTTGTGGGAAGTTCAGTTTGTATATTAGCTGATGAAACCATCTCAACTTTGGGCCTATTAACTCACTCCTTCTGAAGCTTTCGACAGTGTCAGATGCTTTTCATCACTAGAGCGTATGCTTAGTTCTTATCAAATCAAAGAAACATGTACAATTTTAACAATTCCTTGACAAATGATGCCATGAATGAAGACTGTGTGATATGGGTGAAAGCTAAATGGACCTTAGGCTGATGTTTGGGGAATAGCAACATATGTTTTATTCTCTAAAATAAGATGTTTTGAAGCAATAAATAAAAATAAATGACCATGTTCTTTGTGCTTACCTACATGACTTAGGTCACCAAAATAAAAGTATGAACACTGATGAAGACGCAGGTGAGAAAAAACAGAGGGTTGGGGGCGACCTCCCCACTAACTGGTGTCTGGACACTTTGTAGGCTTGAGGCATGGTGTTTTTATTTTCATGTTCTACAGCATAACATTGTGTACAAAAAATGGAGTTAGTATGATCAGAGGACAACATGGGAGAAACAGAATGGGATATAGCACCTTCATTTCTCCACCTCCGTGTCTGGAGGGTTTGGATTTACCCCAAACAAGGGTGTGAGGTTTATTTTGTCCGACTCTTACTACATGCCATGAGATGGTGACAGTGGCTCAGAGCATATTTTAAAGTGAGCTGCCTAGAGATGCTGCCATTAAAAATATCCAGCCTGAACCTCTGGATAACTGCTGTAGGGACTTGTTCCTGGACAGAATCTGATTGGCAGCCAGATTTTTCCAGAGTTCAATGGAGGAGACGGTCCTGCCACCATGAAGCACCACCATGATGGAGAAAGAGCAGTGGGAAGTGCATGGAGTTAAAACAAAAAAACGACATCTGCCACATCCAGCTAATGGCGGCCGCACCAACAAAAAACATCTTTCAACTCAAAAGCGTTGGTTTGTCAGCTGACAGAAGCGCCACGGGCCGTTTGACAAAGGTGTGGAGCTCCTTGGGAGGAGCGGTAACGCTGGAGGGGGGGGGGGGGGGGGGGGGGGGGGGGGGGGGGGGGTGGGGGGGGGGGGTGGGCGGGTGGCAGAGCACAGTGCTCCAGTGGCAGCTACTTTGCCTGGGGCTCCTTCACATCCATACACAGGAGTGTGTCACTGCACACATGAGTGCAAACACACCCGAGATGTCAATCAAACTAATTGCAAGTGGGCCTGCATGGCACCCAGAGAGGTGAATTGGAAAAAATAAGATAAAGGTTTTTTTAATCAACTGTGGATTTCGACTGCAGCAGCGGCAGCAGAGGGGGGGGGGGGGGGCTACGTGAAGGCGCTGCAGGCGGGTCACCCTGCCTGGGCTTCCCCCTAACAATACAAAAAACCTTTAGCAGAACATGAAAACAAAATGTATAAACAGTATATGTCATCATTTATATATATATATATGGAAAAAATATAAAACAAACAGCCAAATCAATGTCTTTTTTTGCTTTTGAAAATGTCAACATGTTTTTTCTTTACGTATATATAGATTTGTCTTTTCTTAAACGATAATACGTTCACAAAATACAATGGCAAACCAGTTTGGAGATAATCTAAATATGTCTTACTGAAACATCAATGTAATAACATGGAAGAAGCACAATGATTTTTTTCAAGAGTGACTTAAGGCTATCCCTAAATTCAAAACAACAGTAGCCAGACAGGTTGAACGGCACATTTCCTCACAATGTCATACTTGAACCTGTCTTGTTCATAATGTGGCAAATGTAATGACCGAGGTAACGGGTCATAAACATGGAGCTTAGAGAAAACACAAGAATGACATATATACACACAAAAACAAATAGAGACGAAATAGAAACAGCTGAGCAAACATATAAGAGCTACCATTTTACCATCAGGTGGGAAAAGGCTGCACTGTGAAATGGGCGAGCGAGCGAGTTTATAGCTGGTGTTGGTTTCCAATAATTCTGGGGGAAAAAAAATCTGTGTGAACTGCCAATAAAGATTTTAGCATGCATTTGAGAAAATATTCAATAATGAAGAGTAAATGCAGAATCAGTATCACATATATAGTATATGTGTCTGTTCGTAGAAACAACATTTCAATCTATTTCAGTACACTGTAATAAAGTAGAGCGCGGCCCCAGGTGAAAAAGAGTTGGTCCATTATCACTACAGAGTGAACATCTGTAAACTTTTTGGGCTTTGACAATTTATTTCCTGCCTGAGCCAACAAGGAGGCGGAAACTCAAATGAACACATTCAAAAGACAAATCAGACATTTGTACCTTTCCCCCTCTCGACTTCTCAGTAACAATATTACGTGGCGGACTCTCCGAACAGCTGGAGTCAAAGCTTTGCTTGCATGTTGCCAAGTGAAGAAAGTCTGCAGTGCACATTGAACAACAAGGAGTGACCTGATCAAGTGCCTATAAATCATTTCTCCAAAACTCTTAGAGCAAATAATGGTTCAAAATGGGGGTAACCATATTCTGTGTGATGAAATGTTTGCTTTTAGTTGCTCTTATTTTCTTTTAGAAGTTGTAAATGAAAAGGGCTCGTGGAAGATAGCAACATTTTCACCTCAATAGCACCAAGTGCCCCGTGTCACACATACAGTGCAAGTGCCTCACTTTTGGTTTTCAGCCCTCCTCCTTTGGTTAACAGATGATCAAGATGCGCCGTAAACACAAAGATATTCTGTTTCCTTTAGGAAGGTGTAAAGGTTGGCTGAGGAGGAGGGCAGTCTGTCTCTCTGTGTGTGGTCAAAGGTGTGGCCTCGCACGCTGACTCCATGCTTCCAGTGCTGTCAGGAAGCTTTTTTAACACACTTTCTGCAGGTGGTAGGTAAACAGTGTTGGTTTTGCCAAAACAAATACATCAACAACAATAAACAAAGAATAAGATACAGGAGTTTTTGGTTGCAAAGTGAAAGAGAGAAGCTATTGAGACTGTGCTGTTCTGTATAACTCCATGTGTCAGCTGCTGGTTGTTGCTTTCTTTAGAATCCCATCCCTGATAAAGCAAAGGAAATGAATCAACTGGATAAAAAGTGACATAGAAAACTGATTGAGTGTGAATACCTGTGTTTGTTTGTGTGTGAACGCATGGTCCATCTGCTTTCCCTGACTGTAAATCCTATCTTTTTTTGCATTGCTCATTCACCATGTGTCTCTCTCTTCCTCTCTTCTTCTCCACATGTCAGCCGGCCCTCTCGGCTCGGTCGTACATTCCCAGCGGCTGTCAGGAGCGAAGAGCAGGTGAGGAGCCGGTAGAGAGGCTGGCATGTCGGTGATAAAAGATCACCTCAAAGGTCCAGAAATAAAACAAGACACGAACAAGTCTAAGGGAGAACAAAAACTGAGAGCTTTACCGCCGTGCTTTCACGTTCTTCAAAAATGGCAGCAAAGAGGCCCAATCTTCTTTTGGATAAAAAAGTGAAGATTCTTTTCATTTACTAAAACACACTCCTTCTTTGACTAGACTTTCCATTTAAAAACCAGAGCTTTACAAAACATAGAAAGATGCAACACTGAACCCAACATAAAAAACAGGAAACATCTTTAGATCTATATTTTCTTTACAGTTTAGCTGCATTGGGGTTTCCCAAAACTGGGAATGGTGGGAATGGCGAGGACGGCAATGTGAAAGGTGACTCTGCTTTGGTCCCTTCCCCAGCTGGAGTTCAGTTGAGCTTAGGGGGGGGGGGGGGGGGGGGGCTCAGGGGCAGAGCCAGAGTTTGACGGACAGTTGCGATTTTGAGCTGAAGAAAACCAAATGCATGCAAAACGATGCCCCTCCCCCTTTTCTCTGGCCAAAGGCAGCCGTGCACGTTGGCGTGGCGCTTTGAAGTTGGTGAGGAACGTTCAGTCGGTGAATCTCTGGCAGGCTTTCTTCCAGCGGCAGGCGGTGCACCACATGTCGCGGTTCTCCATCCCGTACACCTTACGGCACTTCTTCCCCTCACCGCGCACCTTCCGACTGAGAGGGAGAAGTGGATACATTATAAATCATCATCTGCTTAAATGATCAAGTGCACTATCATTCAAAACACCAGTGGTGAAAAAAACATTCCTTTTGAAAACATTGAAATGAAATTGTTAGACTACTAAAATACACTCTTTGGTGCTTTTTCGTTAAGAGCAACATGAGATGATCATTCCCTTTGTACAGAGCCAGGCTACCTGTTTCCATCTGTTTCAAGTCTTTATGCTAAGCTAAGCTAAGCTAACCAGTTGCTTGCTGTATGAGAGTTGTAATCACACTTCTTATGTGACTTAAGAAAGCATATAATAGTTGCATTTCTCAAAATGTCAAACTATTCTCCTGTGTTTTGCCTTTTCTAATTGCAGCTAAACGCCCATCAACAAACTACAAGGTTGTGATGTGTTAAAAAGGAAACAACACATAAATCATACAATCTAGAGTGGATTTGGTAGATCAGAGGCTGATTTATCAAGACTTCTCTTTAATTAAGAGTCATTGAGCTGATTTGAGAGTAAATATGTTATGTTATTTTCACTCTGTAAAGTAGAAATAAATAGAGAATTAGCTTAGGTATGCGTTGTCTATGGTAATATTTATTATGAGCTTTCGGATTGTTTAGCTTTAATTAAAGCTAAAAAAGGAAATGTCAGGTAAGAGGATCGGGTACCTGAGGGCGGTGGTGGCTCTGGGCGGGGACGAGAGGACGGCGATGGTTTGGGAGCGCTGTTCACCGAAGCCCTGGCTCTTACTGGGGGACACCTGGAGGGGGCAGAAAAAATGATGTATTATAAGAGTCCAAATGTAACTGTGCATGTGGCTGAGAATAAATGTTTAAGTTACTCACCGTGGAGCCGGTGAAAGTGACGGGCGGTGACTGCCAGGAGATGCTGAAGTTGGAGCTGTTGGTGGGGGTGAAGCTGGTGCAGGCCGACCCGCTGGAGTTACTGTTGCTGGACGGGATGGACACTGGAGCTGTGGCCTGAGGGGGGAGGACAAAGGGGGAAATGGTGAGATGTTCTACCTAAAAGGATCTATTTACACTTATCAGCAGCATTTTATATGGCCTATCAGAAGCCTTCCTCATTCTCAATGTCATGATCTGTCTGTTTTATTTGGAAAAGTCTTCCCCCCTGTGTTAGGTCTGTTTCTACTTCCTGTCTCTGTGTTCTCCCTCCCCCTGTTTGATTACCTGATTCTGTTCCCCTGGTGATGCTCCTGCCCAGCTGTGTCCTTGTGATTATTTCTGCATGTATTTAAAGTGGACCTATCATGCTATATTTGAAATATATATTGTAGGGCCATACCTATATAAAACATGTCTGTGAAGTTTTTTTTTCAAAATCCCAAACAGATCACCCATGCCTATGCATGGGCACTATGCCTCATACTGCTCAAACCCCTCTTTAGAGAAGAGAAACTCAGATTTTGGGTCCTTAGCTTGAAAAAAAACAAAAAGAGGAGGAGGAGGAGGCGGAGGAGGAGGAGGAGGAGGAGGCGGAGCTAATGCCTGATCAGAATTCTACCGGAGATAAAGTTACATTCGGTTGTGATAAAACGCCATCCTGTTTAAACCACGTCAAGGATTATTTCTGAAATAGTATGGAGCTCAAATGCCTTTTCTCTTGCAGGTTTATCACAAGGTGAGTTCTTTTTTTATTTCGTGCTTTTTAAAACACATGTGCTCTACAGTAAAGGTTAGCTCTGAGTGTTAGCGAGGCTTGCTAATGTAAACAAAGACGAGATTACGTCCAAAACACATCGGGCATTGTTTCTGATAGCAACTTTCTGTGGGTCCGCCGCCGATTTGACGTCAAATCGGCGGTAAATCTGTATCCGCTCGTTGTACCCCCATTTTTTTAAAATGTGGGTACGGAGGAAAAGAGAGAGGATTTTATTTTCTGACACTGCGTGAGTTCCCCGACGTACCGGGGACACATATGTATGTATAAAAGACATCACAAAGTGCATTCTGCATGATACATGTAGCTCCCCTTTAAGTTCTGTTTTTCTGTCAGTGTTTGTCGGATCCTTGTTTGTTGTATATCATTTTTGGAGTTTTGTTCTGTTTTTGTCTATTGAAGAGATTAGTTACGTTTGGCGTCCCTTACCCTGCACTCTTCTGCAGGATTGATTTATATAACAAATACGTAATTACATTTACTTTTGCCAAGATACTTTGTGTCCTGCACTTGGGTCCTACCTGCTCTGCTCTCAACCCTGATTCTAAATCTTGTTGTGCCCTTTCACGATCAACTAGTGAGCGTTTTAACCAAGATCCATGTTAAAATCCTATATTGTCATTGTCACATCCCTTGGTGTGATACTCCCTCTGCTCTCCACTCACCTGGTAGGCGTGGTCCGTGTGGATGAGGTAGAGAGCGCTGGGCGCAGAGCGGCTGAGGGGGGTGGTTCCTCCGGGGTGAGGCTCCTTGGCGTCAGAGGACTGCGGAGGTCTGTGGGAGTCCGACAGCTGGTTGAATGATGGGAGAGGAGAGGGGGGAGGAGGAACAGGGGAGAGGATGGACGGGGACACGGGGGACAGGCTGCTCAGCCCGTCCACCACCGAGTCCGTGTTGAGCTTGATCTCCGAGTAGTAGAAGTCCTCCTCTCCGTCACTGCAGTCCGAGTCACAGTTACGCCTGCAGACAGAGAGAGGGAGGGGGGTGGAGAGGGGAAATTACACATATTGATAAAATAAGACAGTTTTATTTGTAAAGGACGTTTAATACAAAGAGGCAGACTCAAGATGCTATACAGAGAGAGACAAAAAAAATCTAATAAAATACAAAAACTAAAACAAAGTAAATAAAACAGATAGATCTATATAAAAGAAAATACTAAATAAGATGAATTAGAAGCTTTTGAAAACAACGACGTTTCACTCTGAATTGGCAATGGTTGCAGCTTTCCAAAGTTAAATTAAAGCAGAATATCCTTTGAATGCTAATAACTGCTCATGTCCAACTTGTCAAAGCATCACACAACCGCTGAGCTCTCTTCAACATTAATGTCAGTTTTCCAAAAACACAATCATCTACAGTTAATGAGTGTAGATCCTCAGTTTAATTGAAGTGTAAATGTGCGATTCCTCCGATATCACTGTTCTCCGCCTCCACCCTCACTCCCAGAGCTCAAAGTGTTACCGTGGTGATAATCCATCAACCATTAATCTGCTATTTTGACAATGAAGCTGGCTTGGGTAGTGGAGTGTAGTTTAGGGAGGCAATATGTGTGTGTGTGTGTGTGTGTGTGTGTGTGTGTGTGTGTGTGTGTGTGTGTGTGTGTGTGTGTGTGTGTGTGTGTGTGTGTGTGTGTGTGGTGTGTGTGTGTGTGTGTGTGCGTGTCTTACCCCAGGTGGATGGTGCGGATGTGTCTCTGGATGCCCGCGGCGGTACTCAGCACTTTGCCACAGTTCTTCCACAGGCACTTGAACATCACCTTCATTGAGTTCTGAAACAGGAAACAGTAGTTACAGTGAAAAAGCAGCTCATAAAGGGGTACGTGTTGACAGAAATATGTGGTGTGTAGAGCAACAGTTGCTAACTTACACAGTATAATATCTGGGTTTGTATGTCGCTATACTATTGACTTTATAACAACATTCCTATCATGTCAAGGAGTCAAACATGTGCAGATTGACTTGAGGATATTTTCTCCTGATATATGCATAAAACTCACTCAATCATTTAATTAAATCTATGTATAGACTACAGGAGGTGTGATAGAGGTGGTATTTCCCTCCAGGGTTGGTCAACCACCCTAAAGTACATCATTATAATTATATTTCCTCCTCATTATCAGGCATATAGGAAAAAAGCTTCTCAAGTGCATAACAGCAGCATTGCTGAAAATACATTTTTCTCACCTACTGGAGGTTATAAGCAGTCAGTTAATTATTATATAAGATCTTTAAAGTGGCAGCATCTGTGACACTAGTGCAAGGACGGACAGAAATGAAAAAATATGATGAAAACTATGGTTGGTGTTATCCTGTCATACGCTAATGTACAGTTAATGAAATGTATGACTGTAGCTCCATCAAAAAGCTTTAAGTGACACATATCAGCTCAATTGCATTTTATCCAACCTTAACCTGATTATTACAAAAAGTGGATTCTTCTTTTGTTATGCTGTCAAACTTCACTTTAGTAAAAACAGTACATTTTGACTTGATACTAACACAAATGAATACAAATAAAACTTCATACAATGTTCTCCTTCACCTTGGTTATGGATGTATTTTCTTTGTGTGGAGCTAGTCTGAAAACACATTTTTCTAGGAGCTGAGTAAGGAAGAAAAACTGTAGATTTCTCTCTGGTTGTGAGCTGGCGGGCTACCGTATCATTTTCTCTGTGTACTGTAATTACAGCGCAGGCGTCCTAAGAGAGACTGTATATTGTTCTGAATGGAGTGATAAGCCCCATGTGCCTCCCTACTCTGAGCCATTATAAATGGTCTCATAGGCCTGTCCATCAAACTATTGTTAAGGAGGCTGATTTCATTTGGACAATATGTTTTTTTTCTTTCTTAAATCTTCCTCCTCTTTTCAGAAACACACGCATATCAACAATCCTCTGTCTCCCCCTTGTGCATTGTTTTGTCTCCGGGTAACAAAGTCTGTTATTGTGTGGTGGTGAGTGTGAGTTATTCCCTTTAAAATAAGCATTTCACAGTTAATTAAATAGTGACATCCAAATGTGTTGCCTTGCCAAGAGAGAGGAGAGAGCACCAGAAGAGTGTGTTGATCATTTAATGTGAAACCTTGGCATTGCACAAAGAGCATGTGTGTGTGTGTGTTTATCTGTGTTTATGTAAGTCACCGACATCGTTATCCAATTATTAAGAAATCTTTTTTTGTCTCATTCTCAGTTCAGTTATTCCTATTAGTCCCCTTTAATTATTTATCCATAACCTTTCTTTGGCTCTGATTTTCTCTCCTTTACACTTTTAAGTCTCTCTCTCTCTCTTGTTGGTCGTCTTTGTGATAAGTCCCCAATTACTACAGTATGATGTTGAGCTCACCCCAGGGTCTATATCGATTTTTAGTCAAGACGTGAGGACAGCAGGATCTTTGCTGTAGCGGGTATTAAAATCATTACTGCCGTTATGGAGCGGCTGCACGTGAAGGCTAAGAAGTAATTATGAAGGGCGAATGTCCAGAGAGGACACACTCACACACACACTGACAGTATGAGGGGAGAGGGAGGTCGAAACATGGGAGAGGAAGTGGGGGAAGGAAGGAGGAGTGAGAAGGAGGAAAGGAGGGATAGATGGATGATACTGACAGAAAACGACCAACCGGCAAGTAGGAGTGCTGATAAGCAGAGAGAGAGATAAAGAGAGAGAGCAAAGCAATATACATCACAACAAATAACGAGTGACACTGAGCTGTCTGTGGTGTGTGTAGAAATGAGACGAGGCAAAATGATGAGTGAGAAAAAAAACAACGTGTGTGTGTGTGTTGTGTTTATAACATCAGGGCAACAATGACGAAACCACCGCTGGAGCAGAAAGGCTGCGCGTCCTTTCCTGTCCCATTTTCATCTCTGCCAATCAGTCAGAGAGTCTCAGAGGTTATTATCAGTGTGTGGAAGGAGGGAATCAAGCAGCTAGTGTACATCTGACATCTTCTTATTTAGAGATCTGCCTGCTATCAGGAGAGCTGCTGCCTTTCTCTTCTAAACCCCTTAATATGTGACTCCGCTCTGAAAGAAAAGGAAATTCTTGCAGTACTCTTGCGACTTTTTATAATCCTTCTAGGGCGCCGCATAAGGTCATGATCACAGAGCAATCTCTTATTTCCTAGAAACTATGAGGGCTCAGGAATTTACTGGGCAATTTAATTGGAGCTTTCGGCCTGAGAGAAAATGGCTTTTCAAAATAACTCTTTGAAAAGCTGCTTAGACCTTGTCCATAACAAGATGGCTTTATCTTAAAATGCATCTTTCTCTCTGCTTTGGCCTTTCTTCCACAATAAACTATTACTCACACTGCATTTTTTTCAAACCCCAGACTAAATCATAAAGAAACACTGGTTTTGGTGTGTACAGACATATGATGGGGCTGTTATGAAGTTATGACGAACTTTCGGTTGGATTTAACTCACTGATCATTTGATACGTAAACATAGTTGATCAATCTGTGTCTGTTTGTTTGTTTGGTGACTAATTGTACAAGTGTGGAGTGTGGAGTGTTTTAGAAAAGATAAAAAGACTAAACTAAGCTTATAACAGTGATTTGTTTGACGTCTCACTGATTCAAACTGATTAAATCCTTATTTTGTAACAGAAACAAAAAAACATGTAAATAAGCAGAAATAAATCCAGATTTCGGCTGTGACTAGGCGGCAAAACTACGTTTTAACCAGCTGAGTTTTGGTGGAGAAAGCTGTTCCGCTTTATACCAGACGATGACCAGCATGAACAATTTAATGTTTGTCAAACAAAAGAAGAAACTGTTTTCTAACTGTCTGATGTTTTGAATGTTCTTAAATATGAGCAATAAACACATTTCTTCTTGTGTTTGCCTATTTGTTTTTTAATAGTAAAAATGCCTTTAAAGATCAAATGCAAAGATTTTTTTATAATTGCCAGTAAAATCGAAATCATATAGCTACAACACTATCTAAGATATTGCAGTATTAAAATCGGAGATAATATGCGTCTGGCAATGCGCAATATTTATTTTGTTCAACCCCCAACACCAAGTCCGACGATTTATTTCTCAGCCGCTCGTCTCCGCAAGATGGCGTCGCGTGACGTCAGAGTGGCCAAACATATTTCCACCTGGCTTATCGCTCACAGCTGCTTCCGCCGATAGTACAACTTAGTTTCGTTATCATGTCTGATTCTGAGTAGACTATAGACTAAAAGCTTTAGGAATCCAAACTATAACATATAATAAGTACCCTGTATCAAGATTGATGCAAAACAAGTGAAATTTGACCTTTTTAGAGAGGTTTAGAAAAATAAAGTCCAGGCGACCTCTGGGTAATTTGGGAACCATCAGTTCCATTTGAACTTTTTCACTGTAAAAATCATTTTTATTACTTTGAATTATCACTATAGGTATTCATTCCATCCAAATACAACTGTTGTAAAAAATAAATAAAACATACTCTGTTATCCTCTTAGCCCCACGGACCCGAAATCGCGTCATTTGCAGGAAACGACGTCTAAGGAACCTTAATATTTAATAAACTATGAATATTTTATATCCATATAACGGGAAAAAACTCATTTAACTGATCTTTCTCATTTAGCGAAAAAATGCTAACCTATTACTGCACCGAAAATCACTCCTAGCTCCCTTATTACTTATCCTAGCTCCACATCCAACACATTGTTTATGATCGTAAAGACACAGAATCTAACGGTGCCCACCTCAACACTGAAAGATACAAACTCGCGAGGTTATCAACAAAAACGTACATCAAAACAAGTGGCGCTAGGTACTAACATGAGCTAGGCTTACCTTCCTCTTTGTCTGGTCTAAAATGGCATTAAAACGATGATGTAGTTAATCCATAGGTTAATATTCAATGGGGCTGTGTCCCCTTTGAATTGTTCTGATAATCTATAAGCAACAAAACTGCAATTCCATTATCTGCTGTGCTCCGTGCGCTTTGAAATCAAATCAACATTTGTTTACCTCAATTCTTTGGCGTTTCTGCATTGCCCGGCTCTTTCGTTCTTTCGGTTGTTTTTTGTGCTCAAATATGGAGGGGACAGCTCCGGGTTTCAGCCTCCGATGTACTTTAAATGCTTCTCCACCAACATACTTAACGATGGCAGGATCAACATCGTATGCATCAGACGCGAAGTGGTCAGAGCACAACTTGCTCCATTTTGTCGGCTGCCAGCCAACATGATTCACTAAAATAATCCAGTTTCGGCGGATGATTTTGTCTTGGGGAAATGAATGAAAAATTCTCCCAGATCCCGCACCGTTCGTACATCCGAAAGCACAACAATAACCCATGTTTTGCGTGATTTCGCGAATATAATTCAGAGTTTTCTGCACCAGTCATGAGCGAAAAACACCACTGACATGTGAACAGCGCACGAGACTGCCGAGTCGGGATATTTGAGATGGGTCTGGCTGCAGACCACAGCAAGGAGGCGGATCGTATAGGGGCGTTTCCTAACTTTTTTTATCCAATAGAATAATGACACTCAGCAGAAATACATACTGTAGGTGGCAGTAATGCAACTTAAGGGATTCCAGCTGCTTTTATAAATCCTCGCAGAATAAGTCATTCGTTCTTTCACGATGGCCGAACAACACAATAGAGTCTGGCTGCAGACCGCAGCAAGGAGGCGGATCGTATAGGGGCGTTTCCTAAAGGGTTATGAACCCCGCCCCCACGTATTTCTTAAAGGTATATGACGCTCTCTGTTTCTCATTTATTTTAATGCTTTGAATGAATCATAAACGAACTTTGAAAAATAATAATTATAATTAATTTGCATAAAGAATGAAGAGTATACAACCCACAGAGAAGACAAATTCATAAATTGTAGGCATATCATGTTTCACTGTTTGTGCAGTGGTAGTAATTATTATTCAAATCAATCGACTACGTTTTATGGAAGATATTGCTGTATATCATTTAACAACATGAGTAGAGGTTTCTGTACACCTAAAATACTGAAGTTTAAGTTACTGTCCTGATGTGTATCATTCATTTGTTCATGTTGTGTCTGGTGGTAAGATTAATAAAAAAAAAATATATATATATATACAGTACATACAAAGAGGAAAGTCTTTATTAAACAAACATTTTATTCTTGGAAGGTGCCTCCAGCATCATAGAAACAGTCAATGCTGCAGAATCCTGCCAGCTCATCTTTTCTGATGATGCCATAACTAATGTTACATAATTATAGAAGACACATCCGAAGTGTTATTTTTACATATTGATTAGCAGCCGACATTTACTGAAAGGATGCGCCCGTCTCTCGTCTGGTTCATTACAACTAGTAGTTACAAACTGTTACAGTTACAACCTTAATCAGTACCGCACATCTTATTACTCAATTCAACCAACCAAGCTAGCCATGTTGTCTATCCGAATCCATACCATATTATTTGATTAAGTTACAGTATGTAGGGCAGGCCTACTTATATTTCCAAGATAATACAACAGTACACTAGCATCATTCTAAGTGCTGGTTAGCATCACAGCATATACGCTAACCTTAGGTCAATTAGATGATCAGCTTAGGTAACACAAATCAGTATTGTTACCGAGCCTGATAATCTATTGACCTATCTAAGCTTAACGTTATTACAACAGTAGAGTAGGCCTGGTTGCAAACGGGACTATAGGCCAACGTGTTTATAGCATCATGCTAAGTTAGCATTTAATACCACAAACATTTTTACCACATACAACTATTATTTACTTTATTAACGCTTAACGAGGTTGGACAGTCGATGTTGTACTTTGATAACGAGACAATTGTGTGTTAAGAAAAATGACATTACAATAAATATAAACATGCATCTCTGGAAAATACTATTACCGCTGTTTCAACTTGTTGTTCGGCCATCGTGAAAGAACGAATGACTTATTCTGCGAGGATTTATAAAAGCAGCTGGTATCCCTTAAATTGCATTACTGCCATCTACAGTATGTATTTCTGCTGAGTGTCATTATTCTATTGGATAAAAAAAGTTAGGAAACGCCCCTATAGGATCCGCCCCTATACGATCCGCCTCCTTGCTGCGGTCTGCAGCCAGACCCATCTCGAACAACAAGTTGAAACAGCGGTAATAGTATTTTCCAGAGATGCATGTTTATATTTACCGTTTGCAACCAGGCCTACTCTACTGTTGTAATAACGTTAAGCTTAGATAGGTCAATAGATTATCAGGCTCAAACTTCACTTAAACTTCAGTATTTTAGGTGTACAGAAACCTCTACTCATGTTGTTAAATGATATACAGCAATATCTTCCATAAAACGTAGTCGATTGATTTGAATAATAATTACTACCACTGCACAAACAGTGAAAAATGATATGCCTACAATTTATGAATTTGTCTTCTCTGTGGGTTGTATACTCTTCATTCTTTATGCAAATTAAATATAATTATTATTTTTCAAAGTTCGTTTATGATTCATTCAAAGCATTAAAATAAATGAGAAACAGAGAGCGTCATATACCTTTAAGAAATACGTGGGGGCGGGGTTCATAAACCTTTAGGAAACGCCCCTATACGATCCGCCCCTATACGATCCGCCTCCTTGCTGCGGTCTGCAGCCAGACTCTATTGGGATATTTGGCCCAGAGACTGTTTGGCCACAATGACGTCACGCGCACGGAGGCTGCTGGGAATGACATGTCAGGAATTCAGACGGCTTTGGGTCGAGTTTTGTATCAATAAAAAGCTTTTTTTCGGGTGTATTATCTCGATTTAAATTAAATAAAAAATACAGGCAGTCTTAAAAACAACATTTCTATAAAAATGTAGCATATTTGGAAGCTTTGCATTTGACCTTTAACTATTTGTAGATTGAGATTAGTTTTCAGCGCTAAGAAAGAGAACTGGCCTTTTCTTCCCAGCCTTTTGAATTAGACGTTGTCTGCAGTATTCACCTTGCGCTTGCGAGGGATGGGCTCATCGAAGAGCAGGCTGCTGCCGTCCTGATCGTCCAAGCTGGGGTCTTCAGGCCCCGCGGGGCCGTTCCCCACACCCCCCAGGCTGGGCACACGGAAAGGCTTGAAGCTGTCTGCGGAGAGCGGGGGTGAGGGTGTGGAAGGGTTGGACTGGTCACTGGGGGCAGACCAGCTCCAGTAGCCCCCAGAGGAGCTGTTACTGGAGGGGGTGAAGGGGCCAGAGGAGCCGTTGTCTTTCCACGAACCACTCAGACCTTCTAAACAGAGGGGGGTGACAGGAAGAAAGGTAAATCCTGAGAGGAAATCAAACTGCTTTATTCATATTTGTAGATGATACATTCACAGAACCTGTGGGAGATAGACTGTCAGTGATGGGAGATCAAGACATTCAATTAAGTTCAGACAGCTTTATTTGCACTTCACACAAAGAGCCTACCAGAACTCCTGCTGTGTGCGACACTAGGAAAAAAGAAAAGTTACTTGGTTCCGCCGAGACACTTCCAAGGTCTTGATTTTCCAGATAAAATAAATTTTTCTTTTGAATATCAGCAACAAAATACATTTGACTTTGTAAAGGTTGAGGCTGGGGGAAACTTTAAAGTGTGTACTTTAGTGTGTGAGAGAAAGTTAGGTGTTTGTTTAGATGGATGTTAGTCAAAGAGAATAAGAGTATATAGTTTGATAGGCTTGGTGAAGATAAGAATGCTTCCCTGATCTGCTCTTTTTTCTTTTATTATTTTTATATTAGAAAACATCTTTCAATGAGAGTTAGAAGGCAACTGAACAATCATACTGTATGTTGGATTATGGGTGAACCATGATGCTAGGCATGTTGCACGATACATGAGAACTAACTGTGTGTACCGATGTAAATGCACATTGTATGATAACTAGCTTGTATACATTGGTGTGACATGTGTATGACTACATTAAGATAAAAGTGTACAGTTGGTATTTAAAATCCACTTTGTGCATGTATGCATGATGTATGTGATGTACGTTTAACATCTGACTGCCTGTGTGTGTGTGTGTGTGTGTGTGTGTGTGTGTGTGTGTGTGTGTGTGTGTGTGTGTGTGTGTGTGTGTGTTAACATGTGCATGGTGGTTGGAGGGTTGGCTGCACAGTTGAATGTTCAGTGGTTACACAGACTAACTGAGCGGTTGCTTGTGATTGCAGTTAAGGGGCACTTTGGTTTCCCGCCACCATGTAGGGTGGCAGAGATCCAGATTCTTTGTGCTTTTTTTTTTACATTTCCACAACTCATTGATGAGAGAATCCTAAGGCATAGCAGGTGGCAGTCATTTATCCATCTAAGCGTCTACTCTACATGCATTCACATGATAACAGCTGTGGGGGAATGAGAAGTCAGCGTACGGCAAAACATGCTAATAAAAGACTTTGGCTGCGCTTCTTCTTTCATGGGGTCATAAAGGTCTGGTACGAAAGAAATGACACATCAAAGCCAAAGATGTATTTGAAGCTGTGAAGTTTAAAACATATTGTATTCGTCAAAACTCAAAAAGATGTCTCCCACTTATTGGGCGAGTTAACAGCTGAGAAACTCACCGTTGACTTTGAAAGGCGGACTCCTGACCAGCGGGCTGGTGGAGAGACTCGTCAACACCATGGCAGCCGTCACCTTGTCCATGTCCACCTCCTCCTCCGACCGTCTGTGAACACAGGGGAAAAAGAGTTAGATATTACTGAGCATCTTCTGCCACCAACCTCAGTGTCAATTGAAGCAACTTTGTACTACTGGCGGATACATAGCAGCTATTTTTCCTCATCGCACTAATACATAATAACCATAACCTATTTTATTGTGCATGCCCAATATAAATTATGTAGCTAAAGAACACAGTGTGTGTCTCAGTGCATGACATTAAGGATTTTGGGAGATGGCCCTGTGGGCCATCTAAGCTAATTTACAGATGGCCCTGAGCCCAATAAAGATTGCCCTGAAAAATGCGCGCGGACAAAATGGCACGAATGGTTTGGGGGGCCTCCGTCCCCCTAGAACATTTCGATTTTTGCAGGTCTTAGATGCTGTCTGGTGCATTCTCTAGACTGAATTATAAGATGAACAATATTATATTGTACAATTTCAATTGTATTCTTCATTTCACTTGTTTGTTGGTTCTTGTTTGTGTTTGCTCGCTTGCATGCCCTGCATAGCTATAAGAAATACTTAAGTTGTTGGTCAAGACACTTTCCATCTGATAAAGGCAAATGCCTTCCCAGATGGAAAAAAGTAGAAAACATTACATTCAGTTATAACTGCCAAAACAAACATTATTTACACTAGTATGGCCCCTGTTAAAAATGTTCGTAATGTTATCTACTGTAAGTTGGTCGAACGAATCGGAACGAATGCCTCCTCATCCGGAAGCTGACCGAGCAGACCCGAGCAGCAGTCGAGAGGAGCCGAGCGCATCCGCGCAGCACAGAGTTCCCGTTAGCCGGCAAATCTAAATCTCTTCGGTCAAAATAATTTCCCTTTAGCGCAATACCGCTTCAGTTGCGCCACTTATGTGACAGACAAGAAGAGTATGTGACAGACAAGAATAGTCAATTCTAATGTCTAACACTTAATGTGGAGAAAGAGATGTCCTGTGTGGGTTGATTGTGCGTTGATCTGTTGGTAATGCCTGATTGATTGATTGAAAAGTTTATTAACAGCTTGTATATTGGGTACAGTACAGTACAGCTCAAAACATACAATTGTTAAGGGGATGCAGACCAGAGAAAGACTTTCGTCTTGTTTACATCAGGGTCCCCCATTTCCAATTCATCATGTCATTTAAGACATATAAGACATATTTGACATACAGATGGCTTATTTACAATTTACATACAGGTGGTTTTTTTTACATACAGATTGCTTATTTACAATTTTCATTTTAGATTTCGTTCTAATACATCCTAACCGGACATTTAAGACATACCAAGTCTACAGATATACAGTTAGTAACAGAGTCTAAAATGTGAGTATATACATAGATGGGGGGGGGGGAAGCTGTCCATTGAACGACAGGTTGAGATTTGTACCATTACCGGGGCCAGTTTTGCAATGCTCTCCCCCGAAGGTGCTCTTTAAGAGAGGTTTTGAAGGTAAGTATAGTTTTACTTTCCTTTACAGTTGTGGGAAGAGCGTTCCACCTTGATGTGGCATAATTGCGAAATGTGTATTCCCCTTTTTTTGTGCCAAATCTGGGTTTCACATGATTTGTGGAGCTCCCTCTGGTGTTATGATCATGGTATTCCTTGACCTTTGGGAAGAATTTTGACATGTACATGGGGTACCATAGAGGTGTAGTGGATCTTGTAGACCAGGCCCATTGCAAGTAGCTGTACTCTGTCGTCTACTCTAAGCCATCCTAGGTTGTCAAAGTGGGCAGAGGTGAGGTGGGTTCTAGATGAAAGGTCAAGCAGTAGTCTGACCAGTTTATTCTGCGATTTTATTTTTAGCGCCTTGGAGGTGCTATGGTACCATGACGTGCAAGCATAGTCATAGTACCCTTGAATGAGTGCTCCTGCCAGAGTTTTCAGGGTGTTTTTGTTTACCAGAGAGGAGATCCGGTATAGGAATCTAGTTCTTTGATTGACTTTTTTTATTACATTGGATGCCATTTTGTCACAGGAGAGGTTTGCCTCAAGAATAGATCCTAGGTATGTAATTTCCTTCTTACTTGTGACAATAATGTCACCCACTGCAACTGAGAAGTCGTCGGATTTGCTGAGATTATGTTTCGAACCGAAGAGAATGGACTCTGTTTTACCCAGGTTGTAATGATAATTTATTATCGGCGAGCCAGGTGCAGATTCTGCCGAGCTCGGAGCTGAGGGTTTTTTCAACCTGCAACCTGTTCCTGTCAGAGACCAGCAGGGCTGAGTCGTCCGCGAACAGGAACAAGTTGCAGTCACATGCTGATGACATGTCATTTACATAAATTAGGAACAGTAACGGACCTAATATGCTTCCTTGTGGAACACCACAGCTCACTGGGAGGGGGGGGGGACAGAGTACCGTTTACCTCCACCATCTGTTCTCTCCCCTCCAGGTAGGATTGCATCCAGCTCACCGATAGTTTATCAAAACCAATTGCTTTTAGCTTGTCAATCAGAATGGGGTGATTGACAGTGTCGAAAGCCTTTGTAGGTCCAGCATCACCATGCCGCAGTACTTGCCCTCGTCCACCTCTTGTTTGATGTGGTCGCTCAAATAAAGAAGGCATGTGTCAGTGGAGTGGGATGTTCTAAAGCCAGATTGAAATTCATAGATTAGTTTATTTTCCGCGAGGTACTTTTCGACCTGTTCATATACTATTTTTTCCATGACTTTCGAGATGGAGGTAAGTATAGAAACAGGGCGGTAGTTGCCTGGGTCCAATTTGCTGCCCTTTTTGTGCAGGGGGGTTACTCTTGCAATTTTTGCAATTTTGAAGTCTTTGGGTACTTTTCCCTGTTTTATGGAGAGGTTAATTATGTGAGCTATGACTGGTGAGATGGCGGTTGCTGTGTCTCTGAGGAATTTGGAGGGGATATTGTCGTGGCCTTGTTAGGTTGGAGGGCGCTCAGTTTAATGAGTACCTCTGCTGTTGTTACCCTTGCTAGACTGAAATCATCTTTGCGTACCCCTAGGTTTTTGTAGTAGGTCATGATGTGATCTACTCCAAAAAGCCCTGAGTGGGAGGGTAATTTATTTACAAGAGTTGTGGCTATGTTTGTGAAAAAAATGTTCAAGTACTTGGCCACATCCAGTTTGTCTGTGATGAGCCTGTTATCTGTCTTTATGTTTAAGTTAGAAAATCTCGTTTTGAGTTTTTTACTGCCAGCCAAGCTGGTTGAGTAATTTCCAAAGTTCACGGGGTTTATTTTTGTTTTCCTCAGTTTTGACATTGATGAAATTCTTTTTGGCAGTTTTGATCATGGAGCCTCGGGGTTCCGGTGGGCATGTAAACAAATGCATAATGCTGCGCTATACTTTGTGGCCTCACCCAGTTGCATAGCGACACTTATTGTTTAGGTGTCTTTTAATACGCAGGTAGTCATATCATTAGCTAGAACTAGCTGGATCTGATCGATATGGACATAAACGCGAGTGAAGTCTAATCTGACGGGAGAGAGAGATCAGCTGACGAGTCGACACGCAGCTCTGCATGATCACATGCAGCGGTGAGCGGACACAACACACTTCAGGTTAGAATATCACACGTAGCTATTTTAATTGCCTCGCAAACTGCCTAAACTAGTTATAGATATGTTTAGTTTTACTGTCGGGTCACTCATTACTGGATCCGCGAGCTGCATGATACTGGCATAATAGATTGCCCGATCGGGCAACCAGCAGGTGAGGCTTCATTGCCCGAGCTAAATACTAGATGGCCCCGGGCCATCGGGCAGTCCTTAATGTCGAGCCCTGTGTCTTCTTTTCCCTCCAGATGTTTTCAGACAAAACCAGGCCACTCTGCTTTGCATTTTGGTGCGATGACTTTCTATGCTGCTAATTGTATTTAAGTTTTCTTTCTTATTTGATTTTCTTTGAGGGAGACTGACGCAATTGGCCAGACACTATTGGTAAAATCAACAGCTAACAGCTGAAATGCTGCTGTATAAAAATAACATGTTTAAACTAATCTAGACTGATGTGGGTCTTACTTTCAAACCCTAAAGCCTGTGCAATCACAAGCTCAGTGGCTGTACAGTACACACAGCAGCCAATCCATACAACAGGCTAAACACACACTGCACACATATTTGTCTCTTGTAATTGGCAAGAGGCAAACGTGCACTAGAAGCAGGTGTCTTAATCCTCCCGGCATGTATTCCTCAGAGAGGCAATCCCTGTGATCAAAGAGAAGTCAATAGCTTTATTACAGACAGCATACCTATGGTACATGTTCCCTATTAACATAACAAGCACTGTGTGTGTGTGTGTGTGTGTGTGTGTGTGTGTGTGTGTGTGTGTGTGTGTGTGTGTGTGTTTTGTCCTGAGTAAGTAAGACTTTGATAGTGTGTAAAGCCAAATGATCAAAGTCAGTATGTTACAATGATGACATCTCCTGCTGCCTTGGAAAAACATGACATCAGCCATCATTTAGGTTTTCAGACTTATTCTGCATCTTAATTGCTATAAATCCAGTACAGGCAACAAATATATTGAAATAAACAACCTATTTTTGACTTTCATAAAACCTGCCAAACCAAAATAAAAGAACTTTTAGAAGTGATTGAATAAAGGATTGTACAAGTTATGTGAAATCTGTGAGATGATGCAACAGTTACTCTCTTCCATCAGCACTTGTGTCTGTACAGTTCAGGGCACACTGTTCATATGCATGCTATCTGATCTCAGTTTCATGCACAGGCGAGCAAAAAGAAAATCCAGCCCAAATGATAATTCAATCCTTAGAGTTCAGTACAAAATCTACATTAGATAATGTTCCTCTTACATGTGGGCTATTTATCAGTGTAGATTGTTTTGGTGTTAGTTGCCAACTGTGGTAAATATCGTCTAGCTTGTCTCTATATAATTGTATAACATGAATATTGGCTTGTGGTGCAACTCACATTTAAACAATCTAGATGGATACATATCACTACAGGTAAGAGGAAACATCTGGATTTTCTTTTTGAAGTTAATTGTCCCTTTCAATGTAACTAAATTAAA